CTTTATTCTAACATACCAAAAAAAATCCAATATTTTAACATATGACAAATATGTCATCCATAATTGCAATATGGAAGTACTTTTGCAATTGGAACAAGGACAAAGGTTGGACAATGGTTGGACAATGGTTGGATAATGGTTGGACAATGGTTGAACAATGGTTGGACAATGGTTGGACAATGGTTGAACAATGATTGGACAATGGTTGGACAATGGTTGGACAATGGTTGGACAATGGTTGGACAATGGTTGGATAATGGTTGGACAATGGTTGAACAATGGTTGGACAATGGTTGGACAATGGTTGAACAATGATTGGACAATGGTTGGACAATGGTTGGACAATGGTTGGATAATGGTTGGATAATGGTTGGATAATGGTTGGACAATGATTGGACAATGGTTGGACAATGGTTGAACAATGGTTGGACAATGGTTGGACAATGATTGGACAATGGTTGGACAATGGTTGAACAATGGTTGGACAATGGTTGGACAATGGTTGGACAATGGTTGGACAATGATTGGATAATGGTTGGACAATGGTTGGACAATGGTTGAACAATGGTTGGACAATGGTTGGACAATGGTTGGACAATGGTTGGACAATGGTTGGACAATGGTTGGACAATGGTTGGATAATGGTTGGACAATGGTTGGACAATGGTTGGACAATGGTTGGACAATGGTTGGACAATGGTTGGACAATGGTTGAACAATGGTTGGACAATGGTTGGACAATGGTTGGACAATGGTTGGACAATGGTTGGACAATGGTTGGACAATGATACTTTTGTCAGAATGAGACAGGGCTCAGTGTTTGGTGCCTGATAATCAATACGAAAGAAAACAGAAGAAGTAAATACAGGAGGTAGGAGACTGGACGAGGTGTGGGCATGATTCGCTTCTACTTATTTTCTACTGTATTGATAATCTTATATCTCACACTGCAACGAATATTGTATCTCGTCTCGAGGCTTTATACTTCTGCATATCTGGACTGTGAGCAGACTTCCAGATATCGACGATATAACCTTTTTACCCTCTAAGATGGCTGAGAAAAACAAATCATGACCAGATATTAACCCGGACAGTAGCCAAACCTAATCTTTGTTATTTATTGATTAGGACTTGTTAATCCCTCCTTAATTTCATGCTTGAATGACCAGTCTTTATTAGTCAGTATTAGAATGAAGTCGATTAGTCTCACTAACAATGCAGGCCGTAATCTCCTGAATATCACTAAGTAGAACAATGTTACTATTCTGTAGTGTAAAAATAGGAGGGGGGGGATGAGGAGAGCATTTCACATATCAGCTGCCAAATTTATAAAACCATTAGGCAGAATAAGATTACCCAATGCTTATAGAAGCTGATATACTTCGAACATTCTCAAATACTCATCAAGAACCTGTGTGCTATGTGTAATGGAAAATGGAAAAATTATAAAAGCTAAGGTTCATGCTGCTGTCCTACCAATATTTCTCTCAATCTCTCACTGAGGGCACAAGACAGCTTTTTCACTTTCCACCTATTGATGGGAAGATTCTATAGACGCATATAGCCTCATGTTTTTATCATACCTGAATCACAATTCGATTTTTTCCTCAATGACAGATGAAAAAAGCTTCATCTTGCCATTTTAATCAGATACAGAAATTATAGTTAAAATGAAACAGCGTCTTGACATATGGGACATAACTCCATTAAACCTGGCTCGTGTTGAGAAGTTATTATTGAATTTTACTCCATAGACAACACCGAACAGATTTGCTGTCATAGGTTGCCATGGAGTCATTCTAAGATAAATAAAATGCATTCAAATTCCATTTTGAAGATTTGTGAAATGACAAAATTCAATTAAGAAACCACAGTGGTCAGACAGTAACAACTATATACACAAAGTCTTTTCTAAAAATAACGCAAAAATATACGATAAAAAATACTGACATTGTGTATATGGGAGATAACTCTTTTTATACTAAATGACAGATAGTTCCCTTTAAACTTTGAATGAAGATAACAAAATCGGTTCATAATTCTCTGTAAATTAACAGCTATTTTTTCTTCATTGAATTTGATTTTTGATTAATATATATTAATGTATGGTTTCATTTTATTTGAACAAATGAAATAGAGTTTTACATCCTACTTTACAGAAACAACATCTTGAAGAATGTGGCATTTCATTTGTTGAGGTTGACAAGTTTCATCATACTTGATCTAAACTAAGATAATAATTGGAATAATTAAATAAATAAATAAAAGAAATCAATCAATAACAAGAGAATTGATATAGTTAAGATATTGTTGAGTCTGTTTCCATGGTATCAAGATTAAACATTGATAATTCTATAAAAAAAGAAATATTTAAACAATTAAACCTGAAATAAAATGTGTCAAATCTGACATTTTCAAAAAATGAAAGAAAGAAATGCAACAATTAAACTGAAACACATCTCAAATCTGACAGTTTTTTTTTTCACAAAATGAAAGTAGTTATTTTTTTCTTTCCTCTGTTTCAAGAGATTTTGTCGCTTGATAATTCCAAGGAAAAAATTCAACATGAAATACAATGTTTCAAATATGATTTTTTAACAAAATGAAAGTAGTTGTGTTTATCTTGCTGCTGATAATAGACTTTGATTGTGATCAGAATGTTGACGATTTAAATCACATCTACCACTCTGATTCCAGGTCTAAAATAGAAGCTGATTAACATATCATTAGTCAGGAGAAGACAAACAGATGACTGACAACTCAAGTCTTGTGCCTGTGCTTTCTTAACTTTGTCATTAGTACAAAGTTGCAACCTTTACTCCCTAGACATTGGTGAGAGGTCGATCATTTTATAAATCTGAGGGCAACTTGAGTTTTTAGTCGGCCAATTTCTTGATATGAGCAACTGTGATGGATCTATGGGAAGGTTTGAATAACCAGTCAACATCATAGATTCAGGATGTCAAGGTCAAGAGCAGGGCTGTTGATTTTGGACCTTCCAAACCTATCAGTAACCCTAACATAGTATCTTATACCAATTTTCATGAAGAATGTTTTCAAAATCAAAAAAAAATCAAACCCATTTGCATAGAAAATTTCAGTCATTTAGAGCTCCTTTCAGATTAGGACATGACTGGTAAATACAGATCAATCAACAGCCCTGGTCAGAAGACATTACCTGTTCCAGAAGGAGTATCGTTGTTTAGGAATTCGGAGGGCGCTAGTGGACATCACCCGATGTATTGCTGGGTCGCTGAATGTTGCCGTCATCATGATCTATTCTTCGATGTCACTTCCTTTTAAAATTATTTCAGCAGTCTTGTTGAATAAATAAATGTCCCTTCACACTATTTCATGGGTATCTTCTGCCCAAATTAGTCTTTTTCTCTTTAACAAATTCTTTGAACAATTTCAGTCCAAATAAGTTTATTACAAACTTCTGTTCACTTTTCCACAATATTTCAAGTTTCTTTTCTCAATTCTACAATGTTTGTTCACTTCTTTACAATATTCAGTCCTGTATCATACAATCCCTTGACACTTTTTCACATATCATTCGTTTGAATTCTGAGTTTTCAATACTTTAACAGAAATATTGTTACTTTTAATATAATATAATAATATTGTTATGATCACATGAAAGAAGTATATTATATATTATATTAAAGGTTGTGACTGAGGTAGTTTCAATGTACACATTCACTGTATTAAATATTCTAACACCTATATACCAACATAAACCTCAAAATCTGGTGCAAGGTTCCAAGCTTAAATTCCTCACCTATAAACAGACTTGTCTCTTGCTGTAAGTACAGCACAGTTCAATAAAAATCACTGTTTGATTGTCTTCAAGTGATGAGTTTTCAATTTATGGTTAAAATGTAACACAATGTGATACACTTATTTCAACACAAATTGTGTTATGTTGTGTAACGCTCAGTTTTTAGTTTATCAACACGATAAAATCTAACATCAACTGAATCATGTTATATGCCAAATGATTTGTATCAAAATTTATTCAACAAAGAATTTATGACACATTTTGTCTTTTAAATCCGTAATATAAATTAATTATTCAACGACTTCTAATAAAATAAAAATTATCTGCATCCAATTTTATAAACGATTACGTCTATATTCCACAAATCATCAATTCAACTACCTGAATTTTCATTCCATAAGAAGTTAATTATATAAGAGAGAAGGAATGTTAGCTTCTAATAACATACGAAAGAATTTAGAATCCAATTTAGAAAACTTGTTGTGTAATAAAATTGCGTCAATACACCATATTCAATGAAGCATTAATTCTTTGTTTTTCAATTATTTATCAAAAAGCGATGTTTAACAATTGACCCACTAACCATTGCAAATCATCAGAATCTCTATAATTGTCCAGTAAAAACACTTGTTACAGAAGAAGTTTGAATTATCAACCAATCAAAACGCTTGTAACAGAATCAGTAATTCTTTAACAATGTATCAAAGTTTCTTGTAAGCAATTTCTGTATCAAATTGTTTATCCTGTGCTACACAAATTACATGAAATTACGTGTCATTTTGATCTCAAATTACTTCAAATCATTCTCCTTTAATAATAAACTGTAAAAAATAGATCTTCTCGTAATAACAGTTTTCACAAGAGATAACGGCATGCGATAAATATCAAATTACCATTATTTTTCAGTAGTTTATATCGATTCAAACACAAAGAAATCTTCACCTATTGGTAATAATGTTCAGTTGACTTAATCATCCACTTTACTCTTTACTACATTATACTTGCAGTTGATTGTTTACTTTGATAGAATTAAAATGTTTTGTTTCTCTTCCAGTTCTGATCAAAGTCAAGAGGTTTGATCAAGGACCAGATGACAGAACACAATCCTTAAAAATCTAAGTTGTTATACTTGCAAAATGAAAATCAAAAGGTTTGATCAAGGACCAGATGACAGAATCATTGAGAATTTAAGTTGTTATACTTGTAAAATCACTGTTAGGAGATTAAACAAAGTACTAGCTGATAGACAGAATCCTCGAGAACCTTAGTTGTATTCTTGTAAAATTACTGTCGAGATGTTTGACCTGAACACAATACAGCTGACCAGTTGATAGACACTATCTTCAAAGAAACTGTGTTGTTATCCTTGTAAAATCACTGCCAAGTTTGGCCAATGACCAGCTGATAAGATATAATCCTAAAGAACCTAATTAGTTGTTATCCTTGTAAAATCACTGTCACAAGCACACAATACAGGATGCTCAAAAACCGTCTTATACAACTCATCAACTTTAATTTGCCTGTATTAACATTCAGTTTGATTCAAACTTATTGATAAAATTAATAAAATTAGATGATAAAAGTGTATTACAGCTGTCATCTGTCGTGTCAATTGAATATCATTTTACAATCTAGTTCTATATTTCAATGGATTCAAATCTTTCACTCATCTGTCATATTGATTCTATGCATAACATTGCAGAAACTGAGACAAGTATGTCATATAGAACACGATCTAGTTGATAAATGTCAAAGATCAGAACACGATTTATAAAAATTGGGTTATCTGTGATATAGAATTCGATTTCAGTTTGAAGTTTAATACTCAGAACACAATATCAATGTTAATTGGAACACGATTTATCACAAACAAAACACAATTTTGTTAAATGTCAAACACAATTTCAAAGCTTGTTGAACACGATTTGATACAGTTTTTCAGATAATATTGAGATATATGAAGACTTTGGTGTCACGTATGGAACACATTGTCCTATGAAATTACATATACAAATATGAATGGAACACAACTTTCAGAACACAATTATCCTTTATATAGAACACAAATATGTTATGTATGAAACACAATTATGTTATGTATGAAACACAATTTCATGTGAATGAATGGAACATAAATATGTTTACACAGCACAAAATCCTGCTTGTGTAACACAATTATTTTGTTTATGAAACACAAATTTATATTGATCACAGAATGTCAAAAAAAAATTATCTATATCTTTTTCTGTGTATGCACACAAACTTTCATATTTCATCAATTTCTGCCAACATTGAATTTTTGTTCATTAAACGAATTTTTGTTCATCAAACTTTGATACGAGGTTTAATTGGTAGAGTTAAACTATTTCCATTAAAACATCAATCATCAAAAACAAACAGTTATATCCGTTTCACAGCATCCACAAACAAACTTTCAATTTCAGTTATCAAAACAATCTTTTATATCAATTCCTACGTAAAGTTTACTTCAGTTCATTAGAACTCTCAGAATACCCTTTCATAAACAAATTTCATGGTTTACTCAACATAAATTCATGTTAACTAATTCTCCGTGAAGTGTTAATTCAAATCTATATCAAAATCATTGACACATTGTTAGCACAGACGAAATATCTGTTAACGAGGAGAAAATGCAAATATGAAAACGATGAATGAAACAGCACGTTATCTGTCTCCGAATATGAATCAGAAATATTGATTGGTTGAATTGTGATACAAATTCAAAATTATTGTTTCAAGCTTTAATTGATCATTTTTTATTTCTGTTGAATGTAGAACTCGCAAGCTCTCCTTAGTACCTCTTCTACAATTATTCAGAGTATCTTTCTATTAGAGGCTAAGATTTTCTGATTAATGTGATAAAAACACTTTGTAGCATTAAGATTAAAGTGGTCAACTTGCTTCCATATGAAACAGCGATGTTATAGAGTTTGTCCTTTAATGTTCCTGATTTCAAGCTGTTAGAGAAACACCATAGATCACTGAGATTGAGGTGGTCAACGAGCTTCACATGAAATATTACTCTTTACTTGAAATCTAGAGTTCTAAGATCTCCAATTCTGTCAGAGCACTTTGTACCACTGCAGAGGTCAACTTGGTTTTCCAATTCACAACTTTAAAACAGTTGACTAGCTAATTTCCTATTTCTTTCATTCCATAGACTAATAATACATAAAATCCAAAACGTTCACTTCGATCCAAATGCCAGATGATGCTCTTTACTAGCTAGAAACTGTCCAATCTCAAGGTGTAATGGTATACGATTAGCTCCAACAGACCAGCAAACTTCTCTTGAAACTGTCCTGAAATAGAGAAAATATTAACACAATTAAATACATTGTTTGATAAATTAATTCGTGCTTACTCTTCCTGAACACCAGGGGCCATTCTGGGAGTTTTTCAACTAAAGGTTTGGCTGCTTTGGCCCCACCATTTTTAAATTTCATATCAATATACATAGGGAAAAAAATTGCCTGTTGACCCCCCTTGAAATGTCTGTGGGCCCGACTTGCCCCTTCTTTAATGATTGGAGAAACGACACTGTCACAACACAATATGAAGGCACTGAACTCTCCCCACAATTTCAAAATTTATGAAAAAAAAGTGAAAAAAAAAAATGTTTTTCAATATTCCTACAGTATTAACATTTCTAGCCCTTGGAGATTTCAATATTCCTACAGTATTAACATTTCTAGCCCTCGGAGATTTCAATATTCCTAGAGTATTAACATTTCTAGCCCTCGGAGATTTCAATATTCCTACAGTATTAACATTTCTAGCCCTTGGAGATTTCAATATTCCTACAGTATTAACATTTCTAGCCCTCGGATATTTCAATATTCCTACAGTATTAACATTTCTAGCCCTCAGAGATTTCAATATTCCTACAGTATTAACATTTCTAGCCCTCGGAGATTTCAATATTCCTACAGTATTAACATTTCTAGCCCTCGGAGATTTCAATATTCCTACAGTATTAACATTTCTAGCCCTCAGAGATTTCAATATTCCTACAGTATTAACATTTCTAGCCCTCAGAGATTTCAATATTCCTACAGTATTAACATTTCTAGCCCTCGGAGATTTCAATATTCCTACAGTATTAACATTTCTAGCCCTCGGAGATTTCAATATTCCTACAGTATTAACATTTCTAGCCCTCGGAGATTTCAATATTCCTACAGTATTAACATTTCTAGCCCTCGATATTTCAATATTCCTACAGTATTAACATTTCTAGCCCTCGGTGATTTCAATATTCCTACAGTATTAACATTTCTAGCCCTCGGAGATTTCAATATTCCTACAGTATTAACATTTCTAGCCCTCGGAGATTTCAATATTCCTACAGTATTAACATTTCTAGCCCTCGGATATTTCAATATTCCTACAGTATTAACATTTCTAGCCCTCAGATATTTCAATATTCCTACAGTATTAACATTTCTAGCCCTCGGATATTTCAATATTCCTACAGTATTAACATTTCTAGCCCTCGGAGATTTCAATATTCCTAGAGTATTAACATTTCTAGCCCTTGGATATTTCAATATTCCTACAGTATTAACATTTCTAGCCCTCGGAGATTTCAATATTCCTACAGTATTAACATTTCTAGCCCTCGGAGATTTCAATATTCCTACAGTATTAACATTTCTAGCCCTCGGAGATTTCAATATTCCTACAGTATTAACATTTCTAGCCCTCGGAGATTTCAATATTCCTACAGTATTAACATTTCTAGCCCTCGGAGATTTCAATATTCCTACAGTATTAACATTTCTAGCCCTCGGAGATTTCAATATTCCTACAGTATTAACATTTCTAGCCCTCGGAGATTTCAATATTCCTACAGTATTAACATTTCTAGCCCTCGGAGATTTCAATATTCCTACGGTATTAACATTTCTAGCCCTCGGAGATTTCAATAT